GAAAATGGCGCTCCTCAAGGCTCCAGGGATTGATGGATTGCATGCGATATTTTTTCAACAAAAATGGAACTATGTTGGCCCTTCGGTGTGCTCTTTGTTACGGGATCTTTGGCTGGGGCTTCGGCCTCCGTCCTTTTTGAATAAGACGCTTCTTGTGCTTATCCCGAAAGTTCCTAATCCGAGTATGTTACAAAAATCCGCCCGATCAGCCTCCTTAATGTGGTGTATAAGCTCCTTACGAAAGTTCTGGCGGAACGTATGAAGCCTATCCTCCCGTCTCTTATCAACCCTGCTCAGGCTAGTTTCGTCCCAGGACGCAGTATTACTGATAATATTATTGTTGCCCAGGAACTGATCCATTCTATGCGTGGGATGAAAGGAAAGCGAGGGTTTATGGTGATTAAAGTGGATCTGGAGAAAGCGTATGATTATCTTAATTGGGATTTTATCCGGGAGACGATGGTGTTGGCTGGCTTCCCAGAGGTGTTTGTCAAGGCAGTTATGACTTGCGTTATTTCGGCCACCATGCATCTATTGTGGAATGGAGTCGTGATGGAGGAATTCGTACCGTCTCGTGGAGTGCGTCAAGGTGACCCGATGTCCCCGTATTTGTTTGTCTTATGTATCGAGCGATTGGCTCACCTTATCGATGAGGGTGTTTCTAGCGGGGAGTGGAGGCCGATTAGTGTTGGTCGGGGGCACATCTCAGTACCATATTTAATGTTTGCCGATGACCTTCTGTTATTTATAGAAGCTACTCCAGCCCAGGCCGACTATATGAAGGTGATTCTTCGATGTTTTGAAGAAGCCTCGGGGCTTCATGTTAGTGAACCCAAGACCAGTGTTTATTTCTCTTCTAATGTCTCGGAGGCCGATCATTCGCTGTTGGCCCGACGACTCGGTTTTCAGGCTGTCACCCATCTTGGGAAATACTTAGGTATGCCTCTTATCCATGGCCGGGTTACTAAGGACACTTACGTAGATATTTTGGAGAAAGCGGAGAAGCGCCTTGCCGGGTGGAAGGCATCCACCCTTGCGATGGCGGGTCGGGTTACTTTGGCCCAATCGGTCTTAAGCTCTTTACCTTATTACTCTATGCAGACAACGTCATTACCATTTGGAGTATGTGATAGCTTGGAGCGTAAGTGTCGGAACTTCATTTGGGGTGGCACCTCTTCGTCACGTTGCATTAGTCTTGTTTCTTGGTCAGAGGTGTGTCGACCGAGGGATGAGGGCGGTCTGGGGATGAAAGATCAGTGCTTGATGAATCGCGCCTTGCTTATGAAATTAGCATGGCGGTTTCTTACCTCTCCTAATCTCTTGTGGTGCCGCCTCATTCGGGCTAAGTACAACTTGGACCCCCTGGGTATGGGTGAGGATTTTGTTTTCCCGCAAGGCTCGGTGGTACTCTGCTCTTTACGAGATGTGTGGCGGGACACGGTACGGGGGTGTCGCTGGTCTTTTGGGCAACGGGTTGACTACACGGTTTTGGTGGGATCGGTGGTTGAATTCTGACATACAACTCATTCGCTTTGCGTCGGGGCCGGTACCGGAAGCTCAGCTTTTCTCGCCGGTTGCTGAGTTTGTTCGACCGGAAGGCAGCTAGGATTGGTCACAATTCCAGGGCCTTTTGCCGGCGACTATGCTTCTCCGATTTTAGCTATTCCACCTCCAGATGTAGCGGCGGACGACGATAGCCGGTATTGGGGTCCTTCGGCCAATGGGGCGTTTACTACAAAATCTGCATACTTGTCGCTCCAACCGTCGAGGGGTGGCTCTGATCGGCTGTGGAAGGCTATTTGGAAGTGGGTCGGCCCGCACAGGGTGCGTCAATTTTTATGGCTCGCCGGCCGAGATTCGCTCCTTACCAACAACTCCCGCTTTCGTCGGCACATCACAGATAGTCCGCGATGTACTCTGTGTGCGTCTGAACACGAAACCACTATCCATGCCTTGCGGGACTGCACGGCGGCGGATGCTACGTGGCGGCGCCTTGTACCACGCGATCAGTGGCCAGTTTTCTTCTCATCGGACTTAAGAGACTGGCTTCTGCTAAATCTGCTTGGCGACATGAGTAGGATTTCGGATGATTGGCCATCGATTTTCGGGATAACGGTGTGGCGTGTATGGCGGTGGAGGAATTTGCAAATCTTCCAGGGCCTGGACACACCGGTTGATCAGCGGCTCTGGGAGGTGGTTTCGTTCGCTCGTATGGGGGTCGGGCTGCCGCTGTTTCCCCCTTGGGTACGCGGCTCTCGCGGTCGGTTCGGTGGATTGCGTGGGTGCCTCCGGGGGAGAATGCGATGAAAGTGAATACGGATGGGAGCTATGACCCTTCGTTGGGTATGGCCAGTGCCAGTGGTGTTTTACGTGACTGTCATGGTCGTTGGATTCATGGATTTTTAATGAATGTGGGTTTTTTCTCAATTGTGGGCGCGGAGCTCTGGGGCCTATTTCAGGGTCTTTCCTTGGCATGGGATGTGGGTGTTCGACGTGTGATCGTTGAGGTGGATAATCAGAGCATCATAGGGATGGTCCAGACATCGTCCGTTGGCGGCCCGCATGTGGCTTGATTCGTGGCATTAAGGAGCTTCTGGGTCGCAATTGGGTGGTCTCCATTCACCACGTGTTTCGGGAAGCTAACTGTGTAGCAGATTATTTGGCATCATTGGTGGCTCAAGGTCCGGCTGGCCTATTCAGATTCGAGCATCCCCCTCCGGGTGCGAATATATGGTTAACCCATGATCGGTTGGGTGTTTCCCGTCCTCGCTCGGTTCTAATCTAGGCGTGTCGCCTCCTTCTTTGTACCAAAAAAAAAAACAAAAAATAATAAATTTACACTTTAAATCACACTTCGGTTTACTTATGGTTAATATAAGTACTGTATTATTTGTAAATCATTCATAACTAAACTATTGAAAAAAAAGTCATATTTATACAAGACAAGCTAAAAACATGTGCATATGCAAAAAAATAACAAAAAATAAAATAAAATAAAAAATTGCACATGCATATATAATTGACGTTTGAATATCCATGATTTATAAACCATATTTAAACTGTAAATGAAATTTGGCAGGAATCACACTTCCCAATATTAAGTTTATTACCTTTTTTAATCCATTAATTAAGATAATGTCAATAAGCTGTAAATACGGAACATAAAAATTTGATAACTCATTTTCTTGATAGATTAGGATTGAAAAGGAACATGATTTTTTTCTCTAGTTTATATGTACATATAAAAATGTTTGATCGTCCAGGGGTAATTATCTCTTTTGTTGTTTCAATACTTTTTAATATATTGGGCCTAAAAAGTAAAAAATGGGCTTGAGTACTATGTGACTTTTATAACTTATATGTATAGTATCGGTATTTGGTTCGGTTCGGTTAACCGAAATTTAAATCTGAACCGAACCGAACCGAAAATCAAAATTTTAAAAAAGTACAAACCGAAAATCGAACCAAAAATTCGGTTTCGGTTTCGGTCGGTTAACCAAATGTTGTGCACCCCTAAGCGGTCGTAATTAAGAATGTGCAAAATTCGATTGAAATCGACCGAAATCGACCGAACCGACAAATTCGGTTCGGTTTTTTTCCGACTCGGTCGGTGTTCTGTTTCAACCAAATTATTTTTCGGTTATTTCGGTCGGTTTCGGACATCAAATATACAAATTAACCGAACCGACCGAAATTTAATCTATCTACTAAATAATTAGACAACACAGTTACTAAATTTGGTAAGTTGTTTCCATTTACTAAATTTGGTAAGTTACTAAATTTGGTAAGTTATTTCCATTTATAGAGAGTTCATTTTATAAGTGACACGTGTATAGAAAACTAAAACTATAAATCTATTGAAAAAATTCTTTTAATTATACTCTTCAATTATCATGTGATAGCTTTATATAAAATTGAACTAATTATTTTATAAATGGTAGGAAAAACGTCGAATTATATCTCTCTACAAAAAACTCATTAAGTTTGTGCCGAGTCTAATGTGTTCAATTAAAATAAAATTTACTATGCATATTTTTTTAAATATGTTTTAGTTAAATTTTTTTAAATAAATGTGCAATTTAAATACATTTTATAGGTAGTACAGGTAATACTAATCAAATCTCTTTTATCAATGCGTATTAACAAATTAATATTGTAAGGATATGAAATTATCCTATAGATTAGTGTTTTAAAGTTAATTAATATTATAAGGATATAAAATTATTCTATAGAGTAGTGTTTTAAAGTTAATTGCATGCGAGTGCAATATTTTTAAAATTCTGTGTATTTATATTTAATAAATAAATTGTGTTTTTTACGGGTACACAAAAATATCATTTTCTTTTTCCATAACAAATTATACAATATTTTTAACATCGTGGAACTTATCAGCTACTTTATTTAGTGGATAACTCTGCACGTACTCGATAATGGACTGGATAACTGTATTTAGTGGATAACTTTGCCCAACTGTACATAAGTTGTTAGAAAGTAATTAACTTGGTGGTTATTATAAAGATCACATTTCCCATCAAAACCCGTGGTTATTATAAAGATCACATTTCCCATCAAAACCCTTCACATAAACATGGACGGGTGGTTAATGTTTGAGTATGCCCAGGTATTTTTCAAAAGTTTATTTTATGTATGGTGAATGCAATGATTTTATTTTACTAAATTTACGTATATAAGTTAACATATTCTGTCCTATATCAGTTTTTGTTTAGGGATAAGCATATGCCTCTATGGAGAAAATTCAATAAAAGGTTGTATTTTCAAGGAAGAGGCTGTTTAAAATGAACTCGTGTTGTCATGTCTCACGGAATATAACGTTGTTGTCCATAATATAGCTAACCAGGTGGTTGTTTTATATGTGATTGTTTTTGCTTGGGTTTCTTAATTAACTTGATGAATTTTATGGTGCTGCTTAGTTATGAATATGAAAAGATTAAAAATATTAAAACCAATATATAAACTTTTAGAAACAAATGCAACAATAAATATAAAGAGGTATTAAATAACTTATAATTTTGTTTATTTATGATTTATACTTTGTTCCTTGACGTCATGTTTTTTTTAATATATCCCGTGCATTTGCAAGGAAACCATACTAGTATACTATAATATACTAGTATCATAATTATAATATATTATAATATTATATTATAATTTTTGGTAACCCTAAATTATAAGAAAAAGCAGATAGTTCAATTGTGAAGCCCGCAACCTTTTCTTTCCTTCGTCCAAAATCACTGTTTCGCCTTCGTCCCCAAATCACCTTCTCCACCACGCGAAATCGCCCCAATCCAAAGCTTTTGCTTCGCGTACCCGCTGCAAAACCCGCTGCAAATCGCCTCTACCTCCGCCGCAAATATCGTCCTCAATTCATCAAACAACAAATTGTTTTGAAGGGTTGTTTTGAAGGTCAAACAGCAACTATAAACCCTCAT